CAGTGGTAGAGCGCTTGCCTTGCATGCATGAGGCCCTGGGTTCGATTCCTCAGTAACACATAAGCAGAAAAAAAAAAAGCTGGAAGTGGCGCTGTGGCTCAAGTGGTAGAGCACTAGCCTTGAGCTGAAGAGCTGAGGGACAGCGCCCAGGCCCAGAGTTCAGGCCCCACAACCGGACCCAAATAAATAAATAAATAAATGTCTTAAAAAATAAAATGTCTATACTGAGCGGGGCACCAGTGGCTCACACCTATAATCCTAGCTACTACTCAGTAGGCTGAGATGTGAGGATGTTCAAAGCTAGCCCAGCCTGGAAAGTGTGTATGACTCTTTATCTCTACTAAACCACCAAAAAAGCTGGAAGTTGAGCTGTGGCTCAAGTGTTAGCCTTGAACAAAAAGCAATTCAGAGACTGGGCCCAGGCCCCAAGTTCAAGCCCCAGGACCAGCATAAAAATGTGTATGTGTATTTGTGTGTATGTGTGCCTATAGTCTAACACTCTCAAGAGGTGGAGCTTATCTCCCAGCCCTTTGGGTTCAGGATGTGCTTTGGTGTATAAAAAATGGTGTATGGCTTCTTTGCTTTTGCCTGTCACTCATTCTAATCCCTGAGGAAAGCCAGCCACCACATGAGGACACTCAAGTAACCCAAGGAAAAACTGAACCTGCTACCAACCTGTTGAGATCAAGGAGCCCATCAATATCTTGACTGTGACCTTGGGCAAAACTATTACCCAGAGTTACCCGGCTACAGTTCTCCCAGATTCCTGCCAGAAACTATGTCAGAGGAACAAATCATTGTTGGTAAGCCAACTAAGTTTTGGGTTAGTTTCTAACAAAAGAATTAATACACTAGCGTTCTTCAGACTATGAACCCTGGCTCACCTGGTGTTGATGAAATAAACAGAAGATAATCTGTGATCAACTTGTGATCAACTTTTTTGAGTGTCAGTACTGCATCTGAACTCAGGGTCTATTGCTCTTACTTGGCTTTTTGGCTCAAGGCTGGTACTATACCATTTGAGCCACAGCTCCTCTTTTGCCTTTTTGCTGATTAGCTGGAGGTATAGAATCTTGCAGATCTTTCTGGCTGGTCTGGTTTCAAAAGCACACCCTCAGATCTCAGCCTTCTGAGTAGCTAGGAGCCACTGAGCTAATCAAAAAAAAAATTTTTTTTTGTCGGTCATTGGGCTTAAACTCTGTGCCTGGGCGCTGTCCCTCAGCTCTTCAGCTCAAGGCTAACACTCTACCACTTGAGCCACAGCACCACTTCAGGTTTTCTGAGTTAGCTTACTGGAGATAAGAGTCTCACAGACTTTCCTGCCTGGGCTGGCTTTGAACCATGATCCTCAGATCTCAGCCTCCTGAGTAGCTAGGATTACAGGCATGAGCCACAGGCGACGGGCTTCAATTTTTTAATGAAATAGAAAAGAAAGCAGAGAACATCAGTCACAATTACTCAATTACTATTTCCTAAAAGTTTAACTTCAGTGTATGCAGTAAGTAGCAATATAAAATACAGGCATTGGTAGCTCACAACTGCAATCCTAGCTACTTAGGAGGCTGAGATCTGAGGATCACAGTTCAAAGCCAGTCAGGATAGGAAAGTCCATGAGACTCCTATCTCCACCTACCTACCAAAAAAAGGGCGGGGGGGAGAAGGAGGGAGAAGGGAGGAGGAGGGAGGGGAAAAGAGGGGAGGAGGGGAGGGGAGAGGAGGGAAGGGGGGGCTAGGAATGTGGCTTAGTGGTAGAGTGCTTGACTAGCATGCATAAAGCCCTGGGTTCGATTCCTTAGTACCACATAAACAGAAAAAGCCAGAAGTGGTACTGTAGCTCAAGTGATAGAATGCTAGCCTTGAGCAAAAAAGCAGCTCAGGGACAGTCCCTAGGCCCTGAGTTCAAGTCCCAAGACTGGCAAAAAAGAAGAAGAAAAAAAAAGAAGCCAGAAGTGGAGCTGAGTTCAAATGCCAGTATCTGCGCGCGCGCGCGCGCGCGCGCGCACACACGCACACACACACACACACACACACACACACACACACACACACAATGTGTTTGTTACTTAGCCAGGTGCCAGTGTCTCAAGCCTGTTATCCTAGTTCCTAAGAATGCTGAGATCTGAGAATCAAAGTTTTGAACCAGCCTGGGCAGGAAAAGTCCATGAGACTCTGATATCCAATTAATCCCTAGAAAACCAGAAGTGGCTCAAGGTGTTAGAGTGCTAGCCTTGAGGGAAAAAGCTCAAGAACAGCACCCAGGCCCTGAGTTCAAGTCCTACGACTGACAAAAAACAAAAGTGTTCCTTACAATCACAGTTGAAAACATGTAGACCTACAGGTCTACAACAGGTTTAGAACAAAAACTCCCTAAAACACAGGGAAATCCTAGAGGGGGCATGATCTCAGTTTATATAAATTTTACTATAAACATTTTATATAAATTGTCACTAAACCAATGAAAGAAAATAAGACACTCTCAGTAGAACTACTCTCTTCAAAATATAATCAAATGGGAGCTTTTATAGGTTGTATCTCAGATCACAAATAAAAATACAAGACTTTAGACTACTCATGACTTATTTTTGATGAATTTGATCTATTTTCTTTGAAATAAACATATTAAACTATTTTGAACTCCTGATTTGCCAGGTTTACTTTCAAAGCACCCAAATAAATCAGTACACAAACACTAAAAAGTGACTTCTAAGTTTTACTACTTAACTCAAGATTTGCGGCTCTTCCAAAGTCAGACTTCTTAAACAGTCCTTATCTCTGCAATGCTGCTGTTTTTGCTCCAGCCTTTGCAGACACACATATCTTTCTAAATGCTTCTACTTCAACCAGTTGAGGAAAACAAGACAGTCCACAGAAGTCTTCTCTTTTTCTTTTCTGTTAGTCGTGGGGCTTGACCTCTGGACCTGGGTGCTGTCCCTCAGCTCTTCAGCTCAAGAAAAGTGCTCACCACTTGAGCCACAGACACACTTACAGTTTTCTGGTGGTTTAGTGGAGGTAAGAGTCTCACAGACTTTCCTGCCCTGGCTGGCTGTGAACTGCGATCCTCAGGTCTCAACCTCCTGAGGAGCTAGGATTACAGGCGTGAGCCACTAACGCCCAGCCAGAACTCTTTATAAAGTTATTTCCTGGTGATGGTGACTAAAATTTATCTACATACTTGGAAAAAATCAAGTGCAACTGTCTACGCCTTGAGAATTAGCAGCAAAGAAGCTCACTTCTAAACTTGAGATCAGCAGCTCTGGAAGAGAACAGACCATCCTGACAGTACATCCTTTAGTTCTTAGTCTGAGAACTGTTATCTTGGCTTCTTCCTATAAACCTAGAGTTCTGGGAAACTATCACATATCCTTAAAGTTACTCTGATTCAAGAAGTCTAGACATAAGGGGAAGTCTCTGTCCAACCACTTCCACCTACAACTTCAATACTTAGTTTTGAGCACTCTAAAGTCCAAAGAAATTGAGAATTCAAAGATCTCTATGGTTCTCTACAGGAAAGAAAAAGCCAAAATCATTTTAGTTAGAAACAGACTTCAACTATAGAACCACCTGGAAGAACCTGGCATGCCAGTCTGAAGGCCAGCCTTGATGTTTTTTTAGTGACAGTGAACTTGAACACCAAGATCAGGGCCAGAATTTGGTTCTGGAAGCAGACATTTAACCATGACAAGTCATTTATCTAGATGATCAAAGAATAAGAAAGTTCAAGGAAGGTGTATGCTGAATCTATTATTCACTTTGGGGCCACCAGTTAACCGAGCTGTTCCTTAAGTCATCTACAGCTACAGACATAAGACTGTTAAATCAACCTCAAGATGTCTAGGAGGGGTACTCTGTATATTAAATGTCTTCAGATAGTTAGGTTTACCTTAAATGTTTTGTAAACAGGCACTGTGCTAGTCTGGATATAAATCAAAATGAAGATACATATAAACAGGCTGACAGGCTTTCAAACTAGAGTTAAGTCTAGAGCGTTCAGTAGTACAGAGCCTGCCTAGCAAATGGGAAGCCCTGAAAATTCAATACCCAGTATCACTACCACTGCACACACACACAAAACTATAAAACTTAAGTAATCTGAAAACGGCTACTTATCCTATCTCCTTATGAATCACGCTTTTACCTTTCTGTCTTCAAAATCCTAAATGAGGAAATGAAGAACTCCAGTCTAGTCCTCAGAGAAGGGAGAAGGGAAGAATTCTAGCAAAGCAACAGCAACAACAACGTAAACGTTAAAATATTAAGAATAACCAAGGAATTCTAACTAGACGGCCGGGTGAACGGTGTTTCGGGATCTTCGGGTTCCAAGATTCTCTGGACCTGGCAATCTAAGAGAACTGCAATTCTGGGATCTACGGCGCTCGCCCTTCAAAGGCCAAAACTTCAACAGGAGAGTCAGACAGCTCTCTGGCAACCCACATGGCCCTGCAGCCTCCAATCCACTAGGGCCACCTGCCTCTATCCCGACTCGCCAGACACCGCACGCCGCGGACACACGGGGCACGCAGGTACCTTCTGCAGGTCCCACCGGCCGCAAGGAAGGCAGCGGCGATGCCCTGAGAACTTAAGCTTAGCGCTGGGGAAGGGACCTGGTCGGAGGAGAGAGGGGTGCGGGGGTGGGGGAGCCCCGAGAGATGTCAAGCGCCAGCTGACAGCAGGAGCTGTCCGCCGAGCAGCCCTCCGTCCCTCGGCACCCCGGGGGTCCTACCGAAACGCCGCCGCAGGGGACCGGGGGAGGGCTGCGCCCCCCACGCCTCCGGCCCCGCCGGGCGGAGAGGCAGAAGTTTCCTGGGCCCGGCTGCACATGGCTTGCCTAAGTTCGGCCGGAGCGCGGCTCGCCGCGGCGAGGCGAGGCGGGGCGGGAGCGGCGGCGCAGCCAGGCTGCGGGCGGCGGCGGCGGCGGCGGCGCAGCAGGAGGCGGAGGCGGGCGGGGGAGGGGAGCGGCCGGGGGGCGGAGGGGGCTCTTGCCGCCACTGCTCTCTCGCCGCCTCTCCCCCCCGGCGGGAGCCGCTCGCAGCCTCTTTGCACTAGTCGCTCCGCTCTCTCGGTCATGTGACCTTAACGTAACCGGACAGGAAAAGCCCCGCCGCCGCCGCCGCCGCCGCGCCGGAGACCGACCGCGGCGGCAGCAGCAGCAGCAGCAGCGAGCAGCGCGAGGGAGAGGCGGCGGCGGGGAGGACCGCACCGCCGAGGCCGCCCCGCGCCGCCGCTCCGCGCCTCGCCCCGCCCGGCCAGCCCGGCGACAGGTAAGCGCGCAGCGCCGCCCCGGGCCGGTGCCCACGTGCCGCCCCCGGCCCGGGCTCCGGGAAGGCGGAGGGGGGCGGGGGCCCCCCGGAGCTCGCAAACGGTTCTGGCAGCGACGGCGGCAACAAAGGCGGCGGACGGTCCCGGCGTCCCGGGGCTCCGGACGGAGGCAAGCGGAGGGGGGACCCCCCCCCGGGCCGCCCGGGACCCGGCTCTGGGGAGCGCGGGCGGGGGCGCCCCGCGGGGCGGGGGCGGCGGCGCCTGGCGCCGGGGCTCTGGCCGCCTGACAAAACCATCCCCGAAGCCAGGCGGCGGCGAGTCGGCGGCGGCGGCTCCATCCGGGGCTTTGCGGGAGGGGGAGGGGACGGAAGCCGAGAGGGCGGGCGGCGGAGCGGAGGAGGGAGGGAGGAAGGGGAGGGGGGCGGCTCGCGTTCCGTTCCCCGCCGCCGGTCCCTCCCTTCCCGCCGCCTCGGCGAAGCGCGTCCCGGGCGGAGGAGACCGGTGAGCGTCCCGCGCTGGAGCCCCGGTAGGCGGGCCCTTCAGGTGCGTATTCCTCCGGACGCGCCGCCGCCGCCGCCGCTGCTGCTGCTTCGGCGGCCAGGCCGCGAGCTGCGGAAGTGGGTTTGGGGGAGGGGAGGGAGAGAGGGAGGGGGAGGGGAGGGATCCGGTCCGACCGGAGCAGGCCCGGCCTCTCTGGCGCTTCTCCCAGCGGCAGCGGCTCCTACAGCTGCTGCCGCTACTGCCGCGGCTCCGCCTCCCCGCTCGCGGGCGGGGGCGCGCACGCGCGCTTCCGGCCTCCTCGGGTCTCGCGCTGTCTGCGGCTCTCGCGCGCGCTCCTCCCCGCTCCCTGGCTGGGCCGCCCCGCCCCCTCGCTTCCCCCCTCGCCACCACTACCCCCCCCTCCGGCGCCGGCCGGGGCGTTGCGCACGGCGTAGGCGTCGGCTTTGTGTTAAACTCCGCGGGACTTGGGGCGGGCGGGCGCGCGCGCGCACACGCGGGCCGAGGGCAGCGCCGAGCGTGCGGCGCGGCCGGAGCGCGTCGCCCCGCCCCGCCTCGCCCCTCAGCGCCCTGGGGTGGAGGCGGGACCGGAGGGACCGGAGGGGCCCGGGGGCCCGGCGCAGGCGGTTCCCCGCCCTCCCCCAGCTCCGCCCCGCTCCGGGTGGGCCCCTCCCCGGGGGCGGGGTGGCCTGGCGGCCGTTGGGCGGCCCCGAGGCTGGGCCGAGGCGCTGCCTGGGCGCCGCCTGGTTCCCGTGCTGGGGCGCCGGGCCGTCGCTGCCGCCTCGCCCCGGGCGGGCCCCGGGCGCCTCTCGGGGTGGCGGCCCGAAGCCGCGTCGGGAGCGAGGTGGTTGTCGCTGTTGGCTGGCGGTGGACTCGGGAGGCCACACACAAGGAAGCCCGGGCCGCCGAGCGGGCGGAGCGGGCGCCGAGCCCGCGGCCCCGGGGAACCGCGCCTGCCCTCAGCTGGGCCGCCGCGCATTGTCTGACTAACCCTAGAGAGAGAGATGTGGATCTCGAGCCCCCGCCCCCCGGCGCGCTGCCCGGCCCGGCCCGGCCCGCAGTGCCGCGCTGCCCGGCCCCGGCCCCGGCCCGCAGTGCCGCGCTGCCCGGCCCCGGCCCCGGCCCGCAGTGCCGCGCTGCCCGGCCCGGCCCCGGCCCCGGCCCCGGCCCGCAGTGCCGCGCTGCCCGGCCCCGGCCCCGGCCCCGGCCCGCAGTGCCGCGCTGCCCGGCCCCGGCCCCGGCCCCGGCCCGCAGTGCCGCGCTGCCCGGCCCCGGCCCCGGCCCCGGCCCGCAGTGCCGCGCTGCCCGGCCCCGGCCCCGGCCCGCAGTGCCGCGCTGCCCGGCCCCGGCCCCGGCCCCGGCCCCGGCCCGGCGGCTTGCCACCAGCCCGGGACGAGCCGGTCGAGGTACTTCTTAGGAAGAAAGCGACCCTGCCGTGCTCGCTGGGAACCGTGTGGCCCTGGGTTTACGTAGCCTGACCGAGGAACTGGCATGATGCCGAAACCGCCCGGACACCTAAAAAGGCCGGAAGTGGCCGGAGTGGTGTGTCTCGGGGCCACTCACCGGTCACCTCCCGTCCGCACACCTGCTCGCCTGGGTGCGAAAGGAAGAGGAAACGACCCGGGGCCTTTCAGTCACGGGCGATTTGAGCAGCGAGTGCCGGCTTAAAACAAGTCTGAGACTGCTGCGAATTTTGAGCGGACTCCGGGAGGTGTGTTGTGTGTGGTTGGCCGAGCCGGGCTGGCCCGCGGGGCCTCCCGCTCGCCAGGCAGTGTACCAGTTAACGCCCCCCAGCTGAGATTGGAAATAATACAAAAGTGTATTTCCTCCGGCTGTCCTCAGGAGATGACCCTGTAGCCCCGAGGTCTCAAGGCCGTGCTTGCCATGTTTGAGAAGTGCCGAAGCTGGGAAGCAAGCTCCAGGCTGCTGTGATGTGGGCTTGGGACCCGTATTTTCCTAGCAGGGGCTGCTCCTGGCTCTCTCCAGACATGGCCACGCCCCTCTGTAAGAACTTTGAAGCGCTGGGAGGTAGTGTAGCCCCAGACACAAGAAAGGAAGACAGGAGGAACTGCCAATCTGCAGGGGATTTTTACCATAAGATTCAAAATTCACCAGGCAAAAGGCCCTTTATCATTTCCCCGTTCTTTCTCTTTGAATCTCTGAACTTGACCCTGAACATCTTAAGAGTTTTTTTTACAGTTGTAAACATTAGATTTAGGAACATTTTAAAACCATCACTGTGCTCAGGTTATAAGTCTTATTAGCCAGCTATAAACTAAATAAAAATATTTTTAATTTTTTATAATGGTGAGATAGCTATTAAGATGTGGAGTCACTCGGTAGAGACTGTGGAAAGTGAACTATGCAATTTGTGGGCAAGAGGTGACACTGTCTAAAAAGAAATGTACTCATTACCTCACTTATGAAACAGCAGCTCCTCTGTATGACCTGAATAATAACAATAAAATTGTTTAAAAAAAAAAAAGATGTAGAGTCAGTAGCTATAGAACCCTATCCAAGACCTAGCAATTCAGGACGTGTAGGCCCATTATTTTATGGTACAAGAGCCAAGTTAGAAGCTGTGTTGAGGCTGAAACATATAATCCCCAGTTATAACCATGTGGGTGTCTCTCTCATGTGCTCGTGCATGCCAGAACTGGAGCTTGAACTCAAGGCCTGGCGCTTTTGCTTAGCTGTTTGAAAGCTGGCACTCTGCCACTTGAGCCACTCCTAAAGTACCCCTGAATCAGCCTCCTGACCCCAAGACTATTGGGAATAATTTGATTGGGAATTTAAAACTAAATGTAAACAAAAGCAAAATATAATTGAAAAGGCAAGTCTTTTTAGAAATGTAGTGCTTTCCAATATTAAAATTACTGCTAATAGTCAATGGCCCTCCTTTTTCTAATTACAGTGGAAGATGGTTGTTGCTTAAAGAAACGGAAGCAGGGCTCTGGTGGCGTAAGCCTGTAATCCTAACTACTCAGGAGGCTGTGATTTGAGGGTCAAAGCCTAGGCTGTGAGTTTCTTATCTCCCACTAACCATCAAAAGTGGTAGACTGCCAGCCTAAGTTAAGAATGCCTTGGTCCTGGGTTCAAGCCCTAGTGTGTTGGGGGCTGGGGGTGAGTAGAGAGTTCAATCCCCTAAACAAAAGAAAGAAATTTAGGAAATGTTAGAGAAAACTTCTCAAACTGTCAATACAACTAAATAAAATCCATTTCCTACCTTTGAATTGTGTTTTAAGTATATATTGAAATTGAAATGAGCAGGCTTACTGAGGTTTAGTTCATGGGGCCTCCAACATTTTTTTCCAGTTTTTTCAACATTAATTTTTTATAATACTAATTGGAAAGGCAGTTCTTGTCCTGCTAAGTGATCTAAACCACTTGAAAGAATCCATTTTACTTGTGAGTAATGCTTCTGTCTGATGTGCCTGGTGCATTACAGTATTCATTTATGCTTCACTCAAATAAAATCAAGGACTTCGGAGGACCCTTTTAGTGCCCTTGAAATGGGTCGCCTAAGTGGTGTTTAGTGTGTTCGAAGAGCTATTATCTTTAGAAAGTGAATCATCAATTCCCAAAAGCTGTTTGGTCTTTAGTTCTTCTTGGGAGAGTGAAGGAGGAACTTGGGTTGTGAAAACACAGCTCGATTACAAGTGTCTCATTCAGCTGCACATTCCGAGACGGGAAACCCACGGGTCCCACTCAGAGAAAGAAGCTGGAAGCTCCCTGCTTGTGACAGCCAGCTGCTCAGTGTCCTGATACCGAAGTGGGAAACAATGCTGGAAACTTACAAAACAGATTGTCTTAATTATCTAAATGACTATTTCTGTTTGACTTAGGAAAGCGTTTTTTGTTTTTTAACCTGACAGGAGCTTGTCTTCTAGACTAGTTTACTTACATAAAAAATTACACAGGTATACATCAAGGAAGCTTTTAAGTTCCATAGAACTGTTCAGTGGTTGGAGATTTTATATGGACCATCAGTGTCCTTATTTTGTTGTGGCCCGTGGTGACTAGAACCCATAAGAATTTGTGGGAGTGCTCCCTGTGAAGCACCAGTGGAGAATCTCAGGCCCTGAGGCAGAGCCCCTACGGCCAACAGTGCAGGGATTTCTGGACAGAGCTGTGTTGTCCCATAGCCTGGCTTCCGTGAAGACTCTGAAGTCAGTCACTGGACTTCTGAGCCTTGGGGACCTCTGCAAATCTAAACCCACCTAGCTAGACAGGTTAAGTCTTCTGGGGTGCTTTGATCCCAAGTCAATGCATCACCGTTGCTGTTGACTTTTTATCTTCTAAATATCATGGTATTATCTTCTAATTCTGCCCAACTCCTCCTTCAGATTGCTGCTCCTGCTCCTTCCTTCAAGTTGAACTACAGTGTACTTTGCCCTCCCCTCCAGCACAGCTCTGCTGGCGCTGGTCAGATAGTCTTTATACCTTGTAGCCCTCCCATTGTGTAGTGGGTTGAAAATCTCTTCAGAGGCTGACCATTGTCTTG